TTCCACGAATGAGTGGCATGACTTTTGTCCAATGAAATGTATTTTTTCGCAAAAATGTCGAAGAGACCCAAACTCTGTTAGTTCTTTGAGATTCAAGTAATATAAAAATCATATCACCTCGTATGTCCTCCTTTCCACATGTTTTGACCTATACTAATGTATTCGGGATCTTCTGTCATTTCTGGCTGACCATGCTCCCATTTACATCCCTCCGCCCATGTTTGAGCCATGTCAGCAAGCTGGTCATTCCAAAACTAAAAGACAATTGTGATAACGTTTAGAAAAAAAAAACCTCATGAACCATTTTTATCTGTACTATACACGGTGTGAACAATTATAAAAGGGTGCGTTTGGAATTATTGGTACGTACTGTCCACGTGACTTGATTTGCCCTTCAAAAAGTGTTGTACCCCCCCCCCCCCCCGTCATCGCATCCACTGCTCCCCAGAACTCCAACTTGGTACATGTTGTATATGGAACAGAGGACACGATAACAGCAGTTAAAAGAATAAGGTGTCCAGTCGGGGTGGCTAACAAGTAAGTACACCCAGGACCGGGATACAGGATCGGAAAAGGCTGAATAAATTGCATCGGCCGTATGCGCTCACTGGTTGCGAAAGTTGTGAGCTGTGTGTTTTTTTCGCTAAAAACACTTTTGTTTAGAAGTGGGTATATAAATAGAAAAAAATGGTTTAGAAGTGAGTATGGTTTACGAGAGGTGGGCTTCACACCCTTACCCATTTAATGTGGAAGTAGCCCCCCCCCCCCCCCGGGAGCTTGAGCCACCATTGTTTAAAATAATAAAACAAGCCACATGCAATATTCGGGCATATTTTTCATTCGTCTGCGTCAACTACTCTTACTGCATGAATACTCACGAGACACGTTCACGTATTTTTTACTATTTGTTACATATTATAACTAAATAATCGAACTTCTCTGTAAACCATAAGCCCTCTACATACAAATGACATGTGTCGCACCATATACCCTGGAACCAGGTTATAAAATCTGAATCTTTAGATTATTTTAGTTATCCTGGCGTGCGACCAAAATATAAATACCACTCTACCAGTGAGATTCCTTGACTGGTTTCTGATCAATTATACGGGCAAAAGTTCTGAATATTTTAATTTCAATTAGTCGAATTGTCCCTAATTTGCTCTCTGAGTTCTACCATAATTTTATTCAAAATTAATATCTGAATATCTCATTTCAAGTCTTTGACTCTATCAACATGATTGTATACGGTGCGCAATACTGCGAAAAAAACAAATATCCCTTTAAAAAAATAGTAAAACCGAGACGGCAACACCTTTTCAAAGACGTTTTATTTGAACTTTTTGCTATTTGATTATGAATAGATCGAATGGTCTTGCTTTGATGGTATGTTCGTCGTGTAGTCTCGTCGTTAAATCGACAAGAAGATATACTAGCCCACTCGGATAGATGTAAATGAAACGAGAACGAGGTGGTGGTGGTGGTTAAATATCGTGTTCATCTTACCATGTGTTGCATATTCGAAGACGGCGGCTCAACAGACTTTCTTAGAGTGTTATGGATATCCACAATTTCTTGTTTCTCATCCTGGTCTAACGAACTCCTTGACAGAGACCGACGAATACGTTCCGTGTCATCGGCGTTTCTGAATTCTGTGATGCCGAAAGATTTCGCTTCTTCTTTGCAATGACAAATGGCGATAATAGCAATTACGATGCACAGTCTCAGTACATTCATTGTTGAGCGTAGATGAGTGCTGCGACGAGGAGAACACGATGCCAATCTATGACAGGCATGTATTTATACACGGATATACATAGTACCACTAACATAGTACGGTTTATGGTTACTGATTATATGTCAATTATACACCACGTTTAAAAGACTGCCCACTGATTTAACCTAACATTGTGATGACGTTTCGGGCAATGCAGACAGCAAGAGGTCATTGACCCCAGAAAATCGCACCGACCTCTTCTCAGAAACTTAACGGAAAACATGACGTCATGCTGGGAACTATTATAATGATATGCAGGATTTCCACTAAATTTAAAAATAGATTTTGAATTCCACTAAATGAGCTCCCGATTGAAATTACCCACCCATGGCATTACTATGTAGACACGTTAGCCCACACAAATAGCACGAGCACACGTCACGATATTTGGAAGCACATTAAGCTGGAATGGTGCGGACATACAGTTGACTGGTGAAATAGAATGTATTCATGGTTATACTGATGATATCAATCTCCTGAATTTCTACCTACACAGATCTTGATTGTATTAACAATGAAATTGAACAAGAAAATACATAAAATAAAATATGACATAAATGAAAGATAAAAAATGAAATACAATCGCTGTTGACTTATTATTGTCACTTAGTAGCAGTTACAGGTTGTTTTCCTTGAAATAAAATACACTTAATTGTTTTCTACTGCCTAACAATATAGAAATTCTAGTATTTAGAATAATTTTGTTAGGTATCTGAATTTTACTTCTGCACGGTAAAATGCGTTCGTACTTTTATTCACGCTGGGTTGGATTTTCTCAAGCTATTACTAACGGTATGTTGCAAACGCCCAGTCACTAAACCAGAGTGTACGTGTTAGTATGCGAACTAGTTTGAAGGCGTCAGTATCATCTCAAGTTCATATACAAATGAGATGTTCGATTATAAGTGCACGCGTTTTTTAATTCCGCATCTAGATCAACGTCAACACGCATAGATGTCTTGAAATCTATCTGTAAACGAAACTAATTAGTACTGCTGTTAATTGAAATGGTATACTGAGTAAATAACTCGAGATCGAGAGTGAAAAGCTAAGCAGCACACATTCTTGTAAGAGGAGCGTGTTTTCTACGAAAGGTATTAACTCATCTTAATCAAGTGCCTGCTTCGAAGAGTTTCACCAAGTTTATTCAAATTAACGCAAATGTCAAAATTCACAGATCGTATGGAATGACAAATAACATCAGTGTTTTATTGCCATGTCTTTTTAATTTATTTTGAATATGGCATCTAATGTATGAATCATCACTGTAATAGACTGATTCGCCCCCTCAGACTACGTACAGTATTTCGCATTCTGTTTTCAGTAATCCATCAACAATGGATTCTTTTTAACGAAGAAACGCCTTTGGGCGTTTTCAATATACTAAATGCATTTCAGTTATCAACTATATAATATTGAAGATTTGAAGTTTGTTTTTGAAAGCATATCACCACAGACAAGAGTCAAGACAAATAATTTGTATTGCATATTACATTTATTTATTACTTGTTAACTATGGAGAACAAGTTTGCTTCAAGATTTGGAGTTGAAAATATGAAAGACATCGATTGATGAAGCACACTGCTCTCCAAAGGTCAATTACTCATGAAACAAACATGTATTTACTACATAGCAGTGGACCATGAAGCACAAAGCAACATATATTAAATATCCCCCATATTCACAGCTTGGAACAACAAAATGGTGACACATACGAGTACAATTAGTGATATAGTATTTATTCTACCGTGACCTAGGCTAAAAACCTTTTACTTTTGTTAAAACGAATCAAACACTAATAAATTACATGTGCTTTGGAGGTCGACTGAACACAAATTATATATCATATTGCCATTTGAGGGTTGGAGTTTGCTGGTAAGTGCTAGATTCTGTACATTCTGATGACACAATGCTGCGAAGTTTTGGATTCAAAATGGTAACATAGTAAAATGACAATAATAGACAGATGCATCATGGGTAATTTAGTTTATTAGAGGTGACAATGTCAAATAATCTGTCAGTACATTATTTTAATAGCAAGTCAACTTGCATATATTTGCCAATATTTAAATACCACTTACATATATAAAATAATATTATCAACCATGGCTTACCCCTAAACCAAGAGAAAATTATGTTTATTCCCAACACTATTCCTTAATTTTCATATCTCACTGTGCTAACACATTGAAATCAGTGTAGCACTTCTACACTGGGTACTCTTAGAATAACTCACTATATACATGTAGTAAGAGTACAGAGCCATTTTAGTGTTCTTGTCACCCATTCACAGGCCATAAATTAGAATGGGGATCAAAACAGATGTATGTACTCAACCATGGCAGTTGTGGTTTTTATTTGCAAAATTGTTGGTTTCCACATAAAATGAACCGACAGACATGGGCAATCTTAGATAATACGTGTGTGGTATTTCAAATGAGAGGTTGCATAAAAGTTGACTGTATGGACCACTTCTAATGAAATACTAGTGCAATACTATGAATGATGAAAAGTATTGTAATATGGTTGATCTGAAAGTACACCCACATTATACCATAAAGATTGTTTACATTGAATTGTGTCATGCACCAAGGCTGTTAGTAAAAATAATTGAAACTCAATACATTTCTGATGTGTTTTATTTAAGTTCTCTCATATTAACATAATTAATATTTTTCATCTAAAACCATAGTTTATTTTCTCGTAAATTCAACATTGGCATATTATGCATGTTGAGGGGCCACTAGAATCACCTGCTATAAATGCTATGCCTATGTTATAACATAATAACATATTTTCAATATGTTCAAATAAATATTATCCTATACACAATATTCCAACATTTTTATACAACTTAATAAAAACAGAAATTTTAAATACAGTATAATTGATATATTGAGTACAACACACAATTATTGGACAAAAAGAGAGGCATACTATTTAGTTTTTATTATTCAATAATTTATATGTACACTTTTTCCCAGTACTGTGCTGTGCTATTCTATTTGTCTAAGTCCAACACCAGTGATTACCATATTACTAAAATAAAATAATTCATACTACAGTACAAGATCAGTGTATTATAATTGTAATGAATGATGAAAGTTATGCATAGGAAAACACAAATGGGAGGGGGACTTACATTGTCAGTAAATTATCCCATTTTTGGTCCAATTGAAGCACATATTAGATGGGTAAAATAGAGCCAATACTGTGAAGTTGCACGATTCAAAAAAATGACATTCTCAATAATTTAAGTAAAGAGGTTTTCCATTGGGAAACAAAATTATGAGCAAACCAGTAATTGAATTACATAGTTCCTGTGATTTTTCAAGTTTAAGAAATAAAGCTTTAGAAAGTATGTCAGAGACATGGTTCCAACCTGCATTCATTAAAATAAAAACAAAATGACCACCAGTCAACCATTTAAAGGCTGATCTGAAAATAAAAGTCTGCATTTCATTTATTCAAAGAACCAATGCATGCATTCACAGTAAGAATTTTTATTTCAGTTTGTCAACTTTGCCAGTTTTTTTCCCCTCATAGATTATTTTAAGTCAAATGGTCCAGTTTTCTGTAGGGGCTCTGTTTTGCATTTCTCATGATGAACCAAGTTTGAACAAAATCTGTTGATGCATGGCTAAAATAGAGATACAGAATTGCAGAAATGTTTGATTTTGATGATTTTTAACAGTATAATGGCTGCCATTCAGCCATATTGAATCAAATGGCAAAACGAATAGACGTGCATAAGTACCCTAAGATGCATGATGTATGTGTGGAGTCTGAATGTAATTGGTCCATACACACACCAATACATGCATGGATATCAACAAGGCGTTGTTGTCGACTTATCAGTACAAACCATACAGCAAAGGTGTGCAAAACAAGGGACAAGCAGTCTCTCTTTCATCAGACTAGCAATTTGATTCATACTAAGCACTCTTTGCATTGATTTGCAACTCAACATATAACTGTGTTATAAGTACCTTTAACACGATTTTAAAAAAACAAGAAAAGATATGATATAGACATGTTTCTTTCACATCATACAAGATACAATGTGGAAACATATTTGGAATGGAAATGCAAATACAAAGTCTGGTACAATTGAATGGGGTAGCAATTACATGCAAGTATTAAGTAAATCAATTACCAGTCAGTGACAAACTTGAAACCTAGGTAGTAAAAGGTATAAATAAGTATTATACCATTCATCTAGATCACTTTTCATATGCTACAGGTTAATAATGTACATTGCCAACACAAGTTTACTATAATATAAAGCTATATTTTTTTTAATTGTTTGTTGAAAAATAAATGCCATGGTCCCTGTGTCTATAAAGTTAACAGAATGTATTTCAGGATCTGTAGAAATAATTGCCATAGATATTGTCTTAGTCTCGCTCCAGTAATAAGTGTTTTATGCGGTGACTTATCTGGTCTGCAAGTTTCTGACTGCTAGCTGCCAAAACACGACGGGCCATCAAGTCCAATGCACCCCCTTTAAAAAAAAAAAAAATGATAAAATTGTTATATTTCACTCAACAGTGTTTAAATGAATCATCACAATGTCAGTCAAACACAAAAATACAACTGCGCCTATTGGAACACTTGTAAGAGTGTATATATTTATATTGTTTGTATTATGTTTTCTATTGTGTCAAAGAATCAGTGGTTCACACTTAAGTCTGAACGTGCTGATAGTACCACAAATATCCTTCCACTGTAAACACCTAATACAAAATCTGTGCCCAGCCTCCCACAACAACAAGGCCTCAAACTGACTAACTGCTCAAATTTTGCAGTTATTCAAGTTAACATATACCTGGTAATGGTTGGTGCAGACTAGTACTGGTTAATAGTTGCAGAAGACTTTATAAGGGGTCCCTGGTATACTCTAGTATACTCTGGTTTACACAGATTTAGTATGTATGGTTTACGATAACTTTATTATCAGTCTATAACCCTGGTATACAAATTACAGTTGGAAGGATAGATAAAAACAATCTTGATTCAAGAATCTAATTGGTTTGGGAATATTTCAAATTCATATTTAAATTGCATGTATTGATATTGGCACCTCGCCATTACATCTAAAAACTAGTTTTGAGACATACCTTCAGTATCGATCACAACCCCGCCAGCTTCTCTGACAATCAGATCACTCGCAGCATAATCCCAACAATGAATTCCAAATTCGTAGTAAGCATCAGCATTACCTCTGGCCACTTCACACATATTTAAGGCTGCTGACCCAAGTGCTCTGAATCTATTAAGGTAGTAAAAACAAAATATATCAGCTTGCTGTCAGGCTATGTACATGCATCTTACCTTGTAAAACTGATTTTTATAAAAAGATAGCCTTTTCAAAACATGCTGTATGTTTAATGAAAGCTAGGCTATTCATGTTGAGATTTTATTCCACTGCGCAATACAAATTTGATACATAATTAAACAGTCATCAGTGTCATATTTGATGAATAAAACTTATTATAATTATTTTTTTTTTCATCAATCCCTGGACTAGTGTGAGGAGATATAACCCATGCATGTAAAGACATACACCATATAAATTCACAGCAAGCTGGTTTAGAAAGACATACAACTCATTAATCATGAAACTAATTGCAAAATGCAATCGGTTAGGTTCATATACACAAAATAATCATCACTTAATAATATACTAACCAAAGCAACCAAAATACACACAAAGACATTAAGATTTGGGGGATAATAGCTGTAAACGTTGATGTTTTAAAAACAAATATTAATCACCAGCTACACCAAAGCCCAACTCATACACATGTTCATATATTTAGCAAATAATGATTTAATTAAAAAGACAGGGATGAGCAAATTAATTACAAATGGTGGACCTACAGGTGTCTTTTACATGGTTTTTATTTTGCTATGATTGCAAAAAAACACTATAAAAGTAGTAAATCTTTTTACTGAATTACATTAAAAACTATTTTTATAGTGAGTATTCCAATTAGTATTCCAACTGATTAAAGACATTATTGAGGTTTGACAGATTTGAAGACATTAATATAAATTTGAGCCAAAATAAAGAATACTGGAATATGTTCTTCATATTTTCATTATTAATATTTTCATGCCATTAGAATGCAGAAAATGAAAAAAATAAATAAATAGGATCGCCGGAATATTTTGTGAGATACAAATGTCTAACATAATGATTAAATTAGCATTTTCACACTGGTTTTGTGGTTGGACAACATTAGGAATCATTGGTAATGACAAATTTACATATAATTTAGTCTACAGACAGTTTCAGGTATAATAGTTTTGCATTATATAAAATGAGAAGTTTTCACCGATAATGCATTGCATATATGTACAGTAACATGTTGATATGCTTTTATTTTAAAGACAAACATTTAAATCTGATGGCACAGACTAGGACACCATGGAAAATGGCAAATAGATGAGATGTTATTTACCCATGGACGCCGTCGGGCTGTGAGAGAAGACAAGATATGTTATTCTTCCATTGAGCGGTAGGATCTCTCCTTTTATGTATTCCAAAACCAACTAACATAAGTGCCTGACTCAGTTCTAGAGAGTGGAGTGAAGCCAACACCAATACACAAATAAATTAGCTATCGCAGTACATGATTATTAAGCTGTGTTGTCCTGAGATATTTGCAAGTAGAATGAATCGGATTGAAATCCATAGAAGTGACATGAAGAAACACTTGTAAACATCTCAGGTATTCACAGCACACACTGTTAAGTGCATTTAGAAGTAGGGTCTGACAAGAAACAGTTCTTAGCTGTATACAGCAGTTTAGTAGTAGTAGTAGTCTGTGCTCTATATACTAGTGGAATTGGAAATCATGTTTCATTGTCAAGACCTTAACTCACAAATACTCCTAACCAGTATTGGGAAGCAGCCACATATTTACCACGGATCAAGTTTCAGTTTTTAGCACTCCAGCCAATTTGTAATAAATAAAATAAATGTCAGGTTTTCGGAGGGCTGTGATTAGAAAGGTGATCTATGGCATAGATATGATCTGCATATAGAAGTGTGGATTTGATAGATACCCATGGGCAGGTGATGATATGAGTGACTCAATATTGTTCAAAACAGTGCTTATCCTATCAGCATCTCGACTTGAGCCAACCTCAGTGAGTAGTAGTGCTTGACTAAGATCTGGAAAATAATCCATGCAAATTGAAGACATATTCAATCGATTTGGTCACAATGGTTACAGTGAATTCAATATTAGCAACCATTTGAAAGTTGCCATACATATATGGATCCCACAAGGAAATAAGTATATTAACTATTTGTATGCCAAAGTCAACATTTGCCATCTATAACAAAACATATTTCATACAATACTTTGATCAATATCTATACTCATTGGGAAATGATTACAGTATTTTACAACGTAATCATAGAATGCAGTGCAGCTCGTAAAAAAGATCAAAATTGGAATAATGTCAATAAAGTCAGTTTACGATCCCAATTGCATTATATTGCTGTGGATTTTTGATGATTTCTTGTGAATAACTAGGAATTGATTTTCTTACATAAGTTCTTGTGAAATTATTTCATAACATCAAAGCAATAAATATCTCTACTGCTATACTGTAGAATACTTTTAAATTATATTCGCTTGGAATTTATTTTCGCTGGTTTCGCTGAAGGGATGATTCCGTGAAAATAAAATCCAGCGAATATACCGGTACTTTTTTTCCTATATTTCACATTAAACTCATCAAAAATCAGTGAAAATAAATTCCACACAAAACGCCCAAAATGCCTTTTCAGCGAAAATTAATTCCAGCAAAAATAAAGTATTCCACAGTATTACCCCCCCGGTAGTTTTAGTTATTTGTTTTTTTAATTGAGAATCCTCAATTACTTCATAAGTGTTGTCATTTAAACAAACGCTATAAAATGAATACTTACCAGAGTTTCAAATTAAATAAATAAATAAATAAATGAAATCTTTATCAAAAATCATATGCCATAAAGAGGTGAGTAAACTATTGTACTTCTAGCGCATTATATCCTCAATCAACAACCAACCTAAACTTTTATTTTATTTATTTGGTGGGTTTGAGATGAGAAATATTCTGTTGTTATTAAGCACTTAGTCACTCACAGGTAGAAGCTTATAATTTACTATAATTTGTTTTCATTACCGTTTTAGTATTCAGTGGTTTGAGACCTATATGAACCAGCTATCTAATAAACTAC